TGTTGAAATAAGGATCCAGGATGATGCACTGCAACAGTGATACTCACAAGACACTATGTTGGGAATTCACTTTACAACTTGGGGCAGGGGGGAGGAGTGGGGGAAGATGGGGACTGAAGAGATCATAAGAGAAAACAAAGGAGGGGTAACAATAATGGACAGGAAATGTGCTCATTACCTTACTCATGTAACTGTAACCTCTCTGTACAGCATCTTTACAAGAAAATAAACTCTAAAAAAATAATGAGAGGTGTGCTGGTGCACACCTGTAATCCCAGCACTTGGAGGATGCGGAATTCCATGCCAGCCTGGCTTACATAGTGAGACCTTGTCTCAAAAATGTATGAAATAATAATAATTTCATGAAGTTATGCAGTACCGGCAGAGGATTAAGCACTAAGTATGACAATGTGTAACGTGTGTGTAAGCTGTGGTAGCCACAAAAGCTGAATAATAAAAGACTCAATGGCTCACATCAGTGATCTTTATGAAGGCAAATAGCCCACAGGTTCAAGCTAACTGCTCTCCACCATCCAGTCTGTCACTCTCTGGAGGGTCTTGGGTCTTGCTCTAACTCAGGCCAGCCCTCTCATAAGCCACCATTCTGTGACTACCACCTGTTTCAAACAAACCAATCGCAATCTGACAAATGGTATAAAGGGAAGAGGAAAAGGCCAGAGGGACAATAAAAACGTAGGCCCCAGTCTACATGGTAGACAGCTGGTTTCCATATCCCTCTGAGCATTCTTCTGAGTGGACTTTACTTTCTCTTTGTTAAATAAACGCTTTGCTACCTTACTGTAACTGTGTTTGCTGTTCCTGGGTGTATTTCTATACTGCCACAGAACAAGGACCCACCATGCTTGTGTATCACTTTCTGCAGAGATGAAGAGGACCATAATTCTAGCCCACACCAAGCAAAAACTTTGTAAGACCACATCTCAACAAATAAGCCAGGTCTGGTTGGTATGCACCTGTCATCTTAGCTGCATGGAAGATCATAGGTAGGAGGGCTGTGGTCCAGGCTGGACACTGGACAAAACTGTGAAACCTTATCTAAAAACTAACCTACAGCAAAGAATAGCAGACAGAAAGAGAGAGGGGCTGGAGGCATAGTAATTATACAGTGTTTGCCTAGCAAGTGTTTGCCCAAGTTTTCCTTCCTATTGAACAAGGATAATTCTAGTATGAGAAAAGTCATCATTTTTTCCCATCAAAATATGCTACTTCTTTTTGTCTATCATGTGAGAATTGTTTTTCTGAAAAGATCCTGCTTTGGCCAGGTACTTGTCCCTGGTTGATTGTATTCTAGTTATATTTTATACTGTTGCACTTGAATTAAGAAATCCTGTTACAAGCTCATTGAATCTTAGTTATATCCTTTTCCTGTTAATTGAGCCACATCCTTTTCAACTCAGGTTCAAAATCTGATGCCCACTGCATTAGGGATAAAACAGTGCTCGCTTGCTGGATTTTGGCTGATAATGCACACTTCTGCAGAAGTAAACTTTACCTTGATGCATTGATATCTTTTTTCCTATTTGACACCCCAACATCCAGAGGCATAGGTAACACTAGTATGGCCAAAAACAAAAGATTCTAGCTGAACACTAGTGGCTCATATCTTTACTTCTAGCTACTCAGGAGGTTGAGATTTGAGGATGGTGGTTTAAAGCCAGCCTGGGCAGAAAAATCTTCTAGATTCCATCTCCAAAATAACCAGTGAAGGGACTGGAGGTATGGCCCAAGGTGGTAGAGTTTCAGATGAGCAGACAGGTTATCCTGAGTTCAAACCCCAGTACCACCAACAAGGAAAAAAGTCTATATTTGAGACTGGTTTGTTGTGTTAACTGAAATGTTTATTTAGACAAACTTAATCTCTTGGTATTTTCCTGCAATTTTGTTCTAAAGATTCATGCTTGTGCAAACAAAATCAAGTGCATTATCTCTCAGTGTGAAATTATGTGGTCAAAACCACCAGCCAAGTTGTGCCCCATTTTCCTTTTCATTTTGTTTTTCAAGAAATTATGTGTGCAAGTATAGGGGGCTCTAGAGAATAATAATAACAACAACAATAATAGTTACTAATGAACCACAGGATCCTGGTCATATAGTATCTGTGCTTTACACAGCTTCCTGTGGATGAGCTCCATGTTCTAATACGAATTCTATGTGGTGAAGAAAAGAAAGTGTGTGTTCATTTTGTAGGTAGACACTTTAAAAAATAATAACATTTAGGTGATATCTAGCTTCACAGGTAAGGATGAAATTCAGGTTTCTACTAGAACCTGAACAGAGGCTTGTGTAAATTGAGTTTTCTTATTTGTGATGGTCCTGAGGACTAAACTCAGGGCTTGGAGGTTGACCCTGAGTTTTTTGGTTCAGGACTAGCCCTCTACCACTTGAGCCATAGATCTATTTCTGTTTTTTTTTTTTTTTTTAATTTTGATGGTTAATTGGAGTTGAGTCTCATGGAATTTACTGACCAGGCTAGTTTTGAACAGCAAGTGTCAGATTTCACCCTTCTGAAGAACTAGGACTACAAGCATACGCTATTAATTTTGGGGATCCAATTGGCTCAAGGTGTATTCAGCTTAGCTAGTAGGCCCTGACTTCAAACCCCAGTACTATGTGCGAATGTGTGAGACAGAGAGAGAAAGAGAATGAAAGAGAGAGAAAGAGGAGAAGAAAAGAGAGAAAGGAGGACAAAGAAAGAGGGCACAAGAATAGGAATAAAGAAGTAATGACAGATCCGATTTTAAATATCACAAATATATATGAACGTAGGTAAAGTATCTCTTAAGTCTCTGGGTCTACTGTCTTTTGATGGGCTATAGACTTCATAGTCTACATCAAAATATTATTATGAGTTTAAAATGAAATATAAATGAAAATTCTCCAACAGACCAGGTATTTTACCTTGTTTTACTTTTACTTGTGTGTGTGTGTGTGTGTGCGTGTGTGTGCGTGTGCGTGTGTGTGCACATGCACGCACCCACACATACATGCTAGTAACTGGGAATTAAACTCAGGGCCTGGGCTCTGTCCCTCAGCTTTCTTTTTTTCTTTTTTTGCTCAAGGCTGTCACTGTACCACTTGAGCCACAACTCTGCTTCTGAGAACAGATATTTTAATGTTATTTTCCTTCCTTATTTCAGAGTCATCATTTTTATGTAATAAATTACATGAAATTGCTTGCAACTATAAGAGACAACTTATTGGTAGCTGTCCCTGTCAATTACTTGGTTTAAAAAAAACCTGAAATCATCATAACTCATAATTCTGTTTTGAACTTAGCCCAAGGAACTGGGGTGGCTAGAAATGAGTATAAGTGATATTAAGAGATCACAGCAGAATTTTAATGACAGTTTGTCATCTGCTTAAGATCTTTTCCCCAAAATAGATCACTGAAGTTTGGCATGGCATAATCAAAATAAATGAACTCAAGAGCCTACAAAGGGAAAAAAATCTTTTTGAAAGGCAAGAAAATAAAAAAGAGCTAGTATTAGAATAACATTTTGCCTTAGAAACATAAAAGAAAAGGGAAAAAGAGGAAAGCATTTCTTGCAGTGAAAGCTAATTAAATGACTTGGTGTTAGTGTATAAATTTAAGCCTGATTTAAAAGAACAGCCTACATTGAGGTATAATTTTTTTTAAAAGGGCAGGTTGATGGTGACACTGTCAAAAAATAAAATTAAAGCCAGGCAAGGTGGCTTATGCCTGTAATCCTAGCTATTTAGGAGGATGAGATTTGAGGATTGAGGTTTAAAGCCAACTCAGGCAGGAAAATCCATGAGACTCTCATCTCCAATTAATCCAAAAAAGCCAAAAGGGTAGCTGTGGCTCAAGTGGTAGACTATTAGTCAGGAGAAAAAAGCTCAAGGATAGTGCCCAAGCCTTGAGTTCTAGTCGCAGGATTGGCACACACACACACACACACACACACACACACACGCACACACACACGCGCGCGCGCGCACACACACACACACACACACATTAAAAACCTAAACTAAAAACCAAGAAACCAAACAATTATTTCTTGGAGATACTGTGACTTTGCAAGTGACCCATATTGGAAGCATCCTTCTGTCACCTTTCCCTGCCCACACCCCTGGTCCATGAAGGCATTCAGGTATAAATATCTCTGACAGATGCATAAAATAGTAAAAGTTCTAAATCATGGCACCTGCTCAATCCAGGGTCTGCCTGGCTATGATTCTGAATTACATTTAAGTGTATCTTCTAAATACCATTTCCTTTCAATAAGTCTTTGGTGAAATATGCAATGATGTCAATTCTCTGCATGCATTAATTACGCCAAAATATCTGGAACCTTCCTGTTTCCTTTCCTGGTTTCCCAGGAAAGTTAAATATACACATGTGAATTACATGTGCACAGAAATACGCTTTCTTATAGGAATCACTGAAGAGCACTTACTTCCAAGTAAATCCCACTGTATATTAAAGTGACCACTGTATTTAGAGACTGTTTTTATTTTCATTTTTGGTACTAGTAGTGGGGCTTGAATTCAAGATCTTGAACTCTTGCTTTACTTTTTCACTCCAGGCTTGACACTCTATCACTTGAGCCACACCTCCACTTACAGCTTTGGGACTGTTAACTGAAGATAAGATTCTCTCCGAGGGGCTGGAAAGGTGGCTCAGAGGTAGAGCGCTTGCCTTGCATGCTTGAGGTCCTGGGTTCGATTCCTCAGCACCACATAAGCAGAAAAAAAAGCTGGAAGTGGTGCTGTGGCTCAAGTGGTAGAGTGCTAGCCTTGAGCTGAAGAGCTGAGGGACAGCGCCCAGACCCAGAGTTCAGGCCCATGACCGGACCCCCCCCCACACACACACACAAAGATTCTCTCCAATTGATCCGCCTGGGCTGATTTGAATCAGTATCCTCAGCTCTCAGCTTCCTAGGTAACTAGGATTATAGGAATGAGCCATCATGTATTTAGAAGCCTTTTAAAGTACAAAGTGCTCTTGTACATACCAGCACCATCTGTTTTAATTCTGTTTGATGGTAAACTGGGCTCTCCCATGCCCAATGTATTGGTTGCTACCACACGAAATTCATACTCCATCCATGGGATTAAATCCACTGCTTTTGCGGCCTCCATGTTTCCTTCAATAATTGGGGGATCTAAATAAAATAAACATTACATGTAAGTCATTGAATAGTTGATCATTTTCATAATCTCTTAATCTCATGTTCTTCCTTTGGAGCAAAGGATGCATAGATCTTAGAGTATAAATAGCATCTAGGAAAGACAAAATGTTAAGCTCAAAAGAGTAAAAAGAGAGATCATTAATAAGCAATAGACTAGTAAGAGAAGCATGTATATAATCCACCTTTTATTTATAAAGCCCGAGGTACAAAGAATGAAATTTAGCACTCCTAAATGCTCTTAGCATTTAGCTCTCTAAATGCCTTTGCTACCAGCCCAAGGGTACACTTCCAGCAGCATAGAGTTATATTTTATATATTTTGGTGGTAGACCTTAGGAAGATATGCTGATTACCCCTTCCACATACCTGCCACACACACACACACACACACACACACACAGAGGAGGGGAAATTTTATGAACTGCCACTAGAGTAATCCATGAGTAGCAGATGATTTATCACTAGGGTACAAAAGGGTAACATACAGAACTTTTTTTTAGCTGGGTTTGTAGATTTAGACTACATCATCTAGAGAAATGTTAATAAATGCTATAATGGGCTGGGCACTAGTAGCTCACACCTGTAATCCTAGCTACTCACCAGGCTGAGATCTGAGGATTACAGTTCAAAGCTAGTCCAGGCAAGAAAGTCCATGAGACTTTTATCTCTAAGTAACCAGCAAAAAGCAAAAAAGTGGAGCTGTGGTTCAAGTGGTACAGCACCAGCCTTGAGTATGAAAATGCTAAGGGACAGTGCCCAGGCTCTGAGTTCAAGCTCTAGTACTACCATGCACACACACACACACACACACACACACACACACACACACACACACAGAGGTACAGAAATACAATAACAGAATTCACAGCATTGGATAATAATGAATAATTCCAAGTTACAGTATTATAGTTAGGATATGCTCTTGGCTGGCTTATACAACCATGAAAGGTCTCTACCTTACTGTAAATCCTGCATGTCTTTAATTATTAATTTGTAAATACATAGACGTGTAAATACTTGCCGCACTACTTATTTGGAAAACTTATTCCTTTGGGCTTGTCTATGATTCATTATGTTAATATTCATGGAATTTTTTATCTGGTTATGCAAATCATGAATATCCAATTTTAAAAGATGTTTACTCATTGCCATAATAAATGCAAAGCATTTCAGGGCCCCATTTTCTACTTTTAGACACATTCCCTGATAGCTTAGATCATTCTCATCCTGCTCTGAGTTTTACTCTTCTGGACTCTAATTGTACATCTTTCTATTCTTTTTTTAAAAATGGTTTTGTTCTATTCATCTGACATGTATTTTTTATTAAAAAATCTTCCCCTTGATTTTCACTCTGCCTCATTATCTCCTATCTCTTCCATCCTTTCCCTCACACAAAAATCAGAGTCTGATTTTAGGTCATACAGAGGGGAACTTCCCTTTTAAGTAAATGGAATAATGAATGTTAAATTGTGGATCTTTATCCAGTCACATGGAGAAAAGGAGAAACATATCACCATATCTGATGGCTGTGTCTCTAAGTATGGCACCTTCCCATCCCCACCCCAGTGTATACTTTTTAACAAAACTGAGCCCTGTATGGAAACAAGGCTGACAATAAACTGATGTAGTCAGACAGAGAACATCTGGCGTCACCAGAAACTAGCATTGGCTAGATTTATAAAAACTTGTAGAAATTTGTTCCAGTAGCCCTAGGAAACCAATGCAGAGGCTTAAAAGAAGGAACTGATAAGAATGATCTGTCACTGGGTGGGTTGGAGGGTCTGAGTAAGAAGGTTTTATAGAAGTCTCAAAGATACAGTAGGATCCTGTTTCTTGTTTCCTGTGCTGCAAAACTTCAGTACCATTTAAGCACTTGAAGAAAGGACATGCTAGAAGCACTCCAAATAACACATCTTGGCAAAGATCTGGGGTTCTCTTGGTGGCCAAGGCCCCATTGGGACTCTTCCAAGCAGCTGAACAGCTAGCATGTGTGAACATGTATCACTGGGTTGGGACAGAAAGAACCAGCTGTGGAACAGGGGACTGTAGGTGACAGACTGAATTCAGGCATGTGAGAGGATCCCATATGAAAATATCAGAGAATTCATCAGGGATCTGGTTATATTATGAATAGAAAAATCATACTTGACCACAGGGAATGGGAGATAAGACAGGAGAGGTCAACTATAATCACTTTTGGTTAGGAGTTGTACTTCCAGTAAGAACTCGGGGCTTTAATTTTAATGACTGAGATGAAGAAAGGAAGAAAATTAAGCAAAGAGCCTTGGGAATTACCATCTTGAGAAGACAGTCTTAAGTGAGAAACTTTAGGCCCAGAAATGCATATCAAGAAATCAGTTCCTTCATGAGCTTTCTTTTACTTTTACCAGAGTAGAGTTAATACCAAAACAACAACAACAACAACTTTGTTCATAATTAAAAAAAGAAAAAGAAAATGAACTTCCAGAATGTAACTTCTAAATGAGTAAAGAAAGAATTTGAAATGTATAAAGTAATACCATTTCCTATCAGGTCTACTAATAGCTTAAAATCTGCTCTGTTTCAAACAAAACCAATCTTAATCACTTTTTTATGTTAGCATCAGTGCTATGAAATCATAAATATATAAGACAAACATGCTTTGGGAGATAGTAATACCTCTCACTAAAACCATCTGTTTAAGAATTACAAATAGCTCATCAAACGGAGCACTGGTGGCTCACGCCTGTAATCTTGGTTATTCAGGAGGCTGAGATCTGAAGATTGCACTTTGAAGCCAGCCTGAGCAGAAAAAAAGTCTGTGAGACTCTATTGTTGTTGTTGGTGGTCATGGGGCTTCAACTCTGGGCCTAAACACTGTCCCTCAGCACTTCAGCTCAAGGTTAGTGCTCTACCACTTGAGCCACTGTGTCACTCCAGTTTTCTGAATCATTTATTAGAGATAAGAATCTCACGGCTTGTCCTTTGAACCACAGCTGGCTTTGAACCATGATCCTCAGATCTCAGCCTCCTGAGTAGCTAGGATTATAGGCATGAGTCACTGGCACCCAGCACTGTGAGACTCTTATTTCCAATAAACTACCAATGTGGCTCAAGTGGTGGAGTACTAGCTTTGAGCAATAAAGCTAAGGACAGCTCCCAGACCCTGTGTTTAAACCCCAGGATGGGCACCAAAAAAAAAAAAGATAATAAAAAGAAAAAATAAATAACTCAGCAAAAACCAACTAACAGGTAATAGGTGTGTCTATCTATCTATCTAATTAAATGCGATTCTTCTACCTATTTAATTGTAAAAAGGTGTTTCTGTGTGCGTGTGTGTCAGAGGGAGCTGTACTGGTACTGGGGCTTGAACTCAGGGCTAGGCATTGACTTTTTTGCTCACAGCTGGTACTCATCCACTTAAGTGAGAGTTCTACCTCCAGTCTTTTTTTTTAAATATATATTTTTATTGTAAAGATACTGTACAGAGGGGTTACAGTTACATGAGAAAGGTAATGAGTACATTTCCTGTTGAGCATTGTTACCCCTCCTTTGTTTTTCCCCTACCATCACTTCCCTCCCCACATCCCCAACCTCTTCCCCCCATCCCCTGCACCTGAAGTTGGCTGTATCCCTATTTAAACATTTTGTTTTTTTCCCTTCCACTCCACAAATTAGAAAAAATGTATATACAAGATGCAGGACAGTGGAATCAAGTACAGTGAAAACAGGGGTTATACCTTGGGGAGGACCATAAAAAAGAAACAAAAAAAAATCACATAGTAAATTATAAATACAAAGCTGGGCACTGGTGGCTCACACCTGTAATCCTAGCTACTTGGGAGACTGAGATCTGAGCATCGCAGTTCAAAGCCAGCCCGGGCAGGAAAGTCCGTGAGACTCCTATCTCCAATAAGCCACTAGAAAACCAGAAGTGGTGCTGTAGCTCAAGTGGTAGGGTACTAGCCTTGGGTTCATTTCACTTAATATCATCTTATATGGTCATATGTAGCTTTGAGCTTTTCTGCTTGTTCTAGATATATGCTAGTTATTGCAAATAAGGGAAACCATGGGACCTATGTTTCTTTGGGCCTGGCTTACTTCACTTAATATAATTTTTTCCAAATCTTTCCATTTTCTAACATATGGGGCAGTGTCATTATTTCTGATGGAGGCATAGAATTCCAGTGTGTGTGTGTGTGTGTGTGTGTGTGTGTGTGTGTGTGTGTGTGTGTGTGTGTGTGTGTATCACATTTTCTTGATGCATTCATCTACTGGGAGGCATCTGGGTTGGTTCCATATCTAGCTATGGTAATAATGCTGCGATAAACATAGTTGTGCTGGTAGCTTTATTATGGTCTTGCTTGTGATTATTTGGGTAAATGCCCAAAAGTGGGATTGCTGGATCATAGGGGAGCTCTATGTGGAGTCTTTGGAGGAACCTCCATTCTGCTTTCCAAAGTGATTGAACAAGTTTACACTCCCATCAACAATGTAGTAGGGTTCCCTTTTGGCCACATCCCCTCCAGCATCTGTTATTATTAGATTTCTTGATTATAGCTATTCTAACTGGGGTGAGGTGGAATCTCAATGTTTTGATTTGCATTTCTTTTATGGCTAGAGAGGTTGAGCATTTCTTCATGTGTCTATTGGCCATTCTTATTTCCTCTTCAGAGAAGTTTCTCTTTAAGTCTTTACCTACTTATTAATCGGGCAGTTGTTTCTTTGCATATTTGTTGTTGGGGTATTTAATTTTTTGAGTTCCAAGTATATTTTAGATATGAGACCTTTGTCCATTGTATGGTTAGTGAAGATCTTCTCCCAATCCATGGGCTTTCTATTGATCTTGCTAGCTATGTCCTTTGCCATGCAGAAGCTCTGCAACTTCATGCAATCCTATTTGTCCAACCTTTCTTTGTTGTGTTTCTGGGTCTCTATAAGAAAATTGTGGCCTGTGCCAAGGAGCCCTAGAGTTTCTCTTAGTCTATCCTGTAA